TATATATATATATATATATATATATATTTAAGTTTCAACATTGCTCTTCAACTGAATTGAGCTCTCCTAGCTTTTCGTATAGACAAAACTTAAAATTTCCCTTTCTCTCTGCCGTGCTGACTGATGCCAAATTGCTAGAGCTGTGATACAGCAAATCAGTCTGTCTGTAGATGACAATATATATGCTCCCGGGAAATCCGGTTGAGCTCTCTTGAGAAAAGGGGATTAAAAAAAACAAAAAAAAAAAAAAAAAAAAAAAACAGTGCTTCCTACTGCTATTAACGTATTGCTCTCCAACTGGATTGAGCTCTCCGGACCACTGGTGTATTTCGTATAGAAAAACGTTAAAATTTCCCTTTCTCTGCAGTGCGATGATAGCCTAGGGGTAGGATCTCTGACTCATGTCAACTGAAGATCGGTGATGAAGGAAACAGTCTGTTAGTGGATGACAATATATATATATATATATATATATATATATATATATATATATGTGTGTGTGTGTGTGTATTTGTGTGTGGGGGAGATAGAGAGAGAAAGAGAGAGAGAAAGCGGATAGGATAGATCAAGAAAGATCCGCGAAGGTGTATTTAAATCAGTAATTCGAGCTTTGCTAACTGGAAGTTTTCTGTTGACTGAACGGTCATAGAACGTCAAGATTAATGACGATACCGATACAGATTCCATTCCTGTCGAAGGAAGAATATTTTCTGCGAAATTCCTCGAATATTCAGACCGGTAAATTTAATTAATACTGTTTAATTAAAAAAAAAAATACAGAGCAATTACTCAGTTAAGTTTATCCATAAAAAAATGTATAAACAGAAAATATATCAAAATATTTGTCGGATTTAATCCATTTCACACACACACACACACAGAGGGTGCGATGGGTAAATTATCGTCTTTATTACGCAAAAGTGAAAATAACACTGACATCTCATTTTAACAGATATATTTACCCAAATTACATAAAAATATCTTGAAATATTAAAGACTAAATTTATTCCATACAATCGCCATTGACTCCAAACACGGCCTCCAGACGACTTCGGAATCTCCTGCAAATCTTCTGGACGTCTCCTTGTTAAAGTTGAATACTGCTATAATCCTTGCCTTCAGGTCATCCTTGGTGTTACATGGAGTTTCGTTCGTTTCTCACTCAACTGCGCCCCAGGCAAACAAAAATCGAGGGAGTTGCAGTCTGGGAGTTAGGTGGCCAGATGTAAGGGGTGATGAAATTATCTGTCTGCCATAACTGTGTTCTCCTGCTTGTGTGGCATGGACGCCTGTTGACAGACATAGGGTTTCCAGCAGCCACCCTCTTGACAGCACTACTCCCTCAAGGCACTTGATGTAGGAATCCATGCTGAGTCTGAGAACCTGTGGGGAGATGAATAGAGGCATAACGTCGCCATCACTAGTGATCACTGCAGACACCAAATGTTGACTGGATATATCATGCAACTCTTTCCAAACATTCTGAAATGTTCGTATTAGCGCTTCCGGCGCAAATGCCAAGCATTATAGTATGCCTTTTCCAAATTTCTGGCGAGATGAACTGTGTCATGAAGCTCTTTTTCTCACAGATGGTAACCAACTGAAACCTACTATACCGTGCAGTCGACAAAATAAAAACAACGCGCATGCGCGTAATTAAAAATATAAGATGGCGACAATTTGCCCATTGCACCTTGTATATAGTCTGTGTGTGTAAAATTTCAGATAGAATATATCTGTAAAATGACAATATATATAACGACAAATGGAAATTTTACTTTAGCCGAATGTCTTATCCTCTGGGGGATCTTATCAAGGCAAATGCAAGAATTTTGTAACAAGTATATATAGCCAAGAGCAAAAATGACGTTAGTTCTTCAAATTTTTTAAAGAATTTTAATGTACGCTCATAAATATTAATCCGGATAGCTGAAAGCCTGGGTATGTTATGGAGCACGGTAAGTGTCATAATTTAATGTCTAGTATAAGAAAGTTCTAGAAATTATTTTATGCAAATTAATATTTAAATTATTTTAGTCTGGGGTTAATTTATGTGTCATATATTCTCAATAACATGAGGTTATGAATTTTAAATTTGAACATTTTTATAGTCATTTATGTTGGCTTAAGAAAGTAGTAATTCTTTCACACACACACACACACACACACACACACACACACACACACACACACACACATATATATATATATATATATATGGTATTTATATATTTTCAAAGCACATTGTTCCTGTAATAAAAAAATCAGGACAATATTACTTTTACTAATACGACTAGTGTGAAGAAAGAAGGAAAGAAGAAAAGAAGAAAGAAAGAAAGAAAATATTAGCCACAAATTAATAATTACTGTTATTATTTAGCAACATTTTAAACTCGATCAAATCATTATGTTCGCAATTTCTGCCTACGATAGATTGTGAATTCGCATGACACTTTCTTTATTTTAAGGACTATACATAGGTGCGAGTAGCCAGGCTGAAGAGACATCTCCAGAAAAATTGCTAGCCAAAGTTAAAGAGCTCTCTATTTGTCCATTAGGTGTCGATTTGTGGCTTATGCGCCAGAACAAGTATTGACTGCTTCGAAACAGTTCCGTCTGCCTGTTTTCACTCAAAAGAAGCTTGCATCAATCCGTGGGTAGGGATTTAGACTCTTCCCAACAGTACCCCGCGCTGGAGTTATTTCTTTAAGACGATATTATCAAGACGTCACTTCACAGATTGACTATGATATGATCCCCATCCAGGTCTCATGCTTAAAACGCTGACATTCTTATCCAACGTCCACGTGCCCAGAAGCCAGATCAAAATCAGAGAGGCTTTTCATTAAAGAAAATTTAAACAAGCATCTTTAAACTTTTGATAAATACCATTTAAGTTTTGAATATTTTGATATATCAACTATTTTTTTTCACATTATAAATGTACATTTGATTTCTACAAAGAAAACATAAACTGTTCTCAAACAAAAAATAGAGTAGACTCTTGTTATCCGCGCTAACTAATTTTCCTGAAGGTGAAATATGCGGATAGTATAGAGTTGTCCAAAAATGTTTACAAGGTTATCAGAACTCTGTTTTAGGATAATGTAATTACAATTTTACTGATTTCTAACGAAGCATTTTGCCACCAGTCAGACCATTTTTTAGCCTGTTTTCTACACACGAATTTAGGTGAGCACTTCCTCGATCGATTATCCGGTGTTGATAAATCATGTTCGGATAATTAAAAATTCCAGATAACTGAAGACCTAAATTATTGAACAAGAATGATTAAAACGTCGTTATTTGAAAGAAAGGTAACGTTTATATCGTCAAATAACATTTTTAAACACTTTATTCACGGTTTTGTCCAGTTTATTTTTATGTAAAAATGCGTCAAATATACGTTTTATGTAAAAATGCGTCAAATGTGCATTTTAAACAAAGATACGTTAAATATGTTTTTGTATAAAAATGCGTCAAATATGCGATTTGCGTAAAAATGCGCCAAACGTGCGTTTTATGAAAAATGCATTAAATGTACGTTTTACGTAAATATGCGTCAAAATGTGCATTTTACGTAAAAATGTTCGTTTTATGTAAAAATGCGTTAAATGTGTGTTTTTACGTAAAAATGCGTCCCATGTGCGATTTATGTAAAAAAATTTTAAAAAAAAATGCGTCAAATGTGCGTTTATTTACACAGCACATTTTTAAATGCGTTAAATGTGCTGAGTAAACGAAACACACATTCCTTTTACCATTCTATTTCACACTGAAACACGATTAATGTCTGTCAAAATCTCTGATGGGACCAAGTCGTGATAATTCAAATCTTTGTTCCTTGTAAGTAAAACAATGAGGAAATTAGCAAGAATTGAACTAATTTTATCAGCGTTTTATCAAACGTTGGGTATTATTTTCTAAATTCCGAAAACATTTGACAGAGATGGGTTTAGTTCGAAGAATTGAAAAATATTCCGATGGTTTCAATCTGTCTCTATAGTTCACGTCCGGATAATCGAAGTCCGGAAAATTGAGTTATGGATAATAGAATAAGTACTGTATGATGGCTTTGAAGATATTTCAATTGATTAATATTTTAAAATATTTTTTTTAATATTTTTAAAAATATGCTATTATTATTAAAGTCATGTCTATAGCAAATATCCTCATCTTTGTTGTTACTATCATAACGTTTCGGTCGCTGTGTCTCCCATCGAAACTTCATTATGTTTCTATCGGTCCGGATAAGCTTCAAGGTATTTCTAAATGACCGTTTATTCAATGTAGGTCAGTAGAGGAATAAAGCGCTGGTTATTGCATTTGGTGTTCAATCCCTGGGCTAGATAATATTAATGATTGGAAAGGGTTGAGGAACGATAAAATTAACGATTAACAAAGATGGGGTATCCTGTATATGGAGGATCGTAATGAGAACAATTTAATTTCAAGTTGAAGAAAATTGTTAAACATGAAAGTGGAACTGTGGATTTTTGATTTTCTTTCATTTCGCAGGTTTAAATTTTCGTTTTTTTTTTCTCTCTCTCGATATAATTTCAACTCTCTATTTCAACTAAATTTTTTCTTTGATTAAAAAATTAAAACTGATTGTAATTCTCCAGCGATTTAAAATCCTGGGGCTTAATTTTGTGGAGAATCTTCTACATATAAAGGCACTTGTCATGCTTCGTCGAGAGGCAAACAGAAATAGAGAGGGATTAGAGAGTAAAGTAGAAAAGAGACGTAGAGAGACAAAAAAGACAGCGCGACGCAGAGAGGGATTGGAGAGGCTATCATCTTAGATAAAGTCAGTTGTTTGTATTGAGCGGCTAAATCGCGTTTCGTGATCTAATAATCTGTTGACTGCAAAGTTGTTCCTGAACTGAAAGTAGCTTTTTGATATTAAAATCTATCTTTTTTGTTCTTTTAATGTTATCACCAGGAATTTAATCCAGATTTTGTTGAGAGGAAAACATAAAGAAAGATAGAAATAGAGACTAAACAGAGAGAGAGATGGAAATGAAGAGTAAAACTGAAAGGGTAGAGAGAGGCATAGTGAGCAAAACAGAAGGACAGAGAGGGGTAAAAAAGAAGGACAGAGAGGGGAAAACTCCCTAAAAAAAAAAAAAAAAAAAAAAACAGAGAAACACAGCGAATAAAACAGAAGGGCTTCGAGACACATAGAGAGTAAAACAGAAGGACTGAAAAGGACATTGAGAATAAGACAGAATGACAGGAAAGGACATAGAGAGTAAAACAGAAGGACAGGGAGGGACACAGGGAGTAAAACTGTAGGACAGAGAGGGAAGGTAAAACTGAAGAGAGGGAGGGACACAGGGGGTAAAATGCAGGACAGAGAGGGACATAGAGTAAAACAGAAGGACAGGGAACAGGGAGTAAAACTGTAGGACAGAGAGGGACATAGAGTAAAACTGAAGAAAAAACAAGGGAATAAAAAAAAAAACAGAAGGACAGAACACAGGAAGTAAACTGAAGGACAGAGGGGAATAAAACAGAAGGACAGAGAGGGACACAGGGAGTAAAATAGAAGGACAGGGCATGGAGAATAAAACAGAAAGATAGGGAAGGACATAGCGAGTAAAACAGAAGGACAGGGAAGGACATAGAGAGTAAAACTGAAGGACAGGGAGGGACACAGGGAGTAAAACTGTAGGACAGAGAGGGACATAGAGAGTAAAACTGAAGAGACAGAGAGGGACACAGGGAATAAAACTGAGGGACATAGAGAGTAAAACAGAAGGACAGAGAGGGGACACAGGAAGTAAACTGAAGGACAGAGGGGAATAGAGAGTAAAACAGAAGGACAGAGAGGGACACAGGGAGTAAAATAGAAGGACTGAGAGGGCATGGAGAATAAAACAGAAAGATAGGGAAGGACATAGCGAGTAAAAAAGAAGGACAGGGAGGGACACAGGGAGTAAAACTGAGGACAGAGAGGGACAAAGAGAGTAAAACTAAAAGACAGAGAGGGACACAGGGAATAAAAGGGACATAGAGAGTAAAACAGAAGGACAGAGAGAGGGACACTGGAAGTAAACTGAAGGACAGAGGGGAATAGAGAGTAAAACAGAAGGACAGAGAGGGACACAGGGAGTAAAATAGAAGGACTGAGAGGGCATGGAGAATAAAACAGAAAGATAGGGAAGGACATAGCGAGTAAAACAGAAGGACAGGGAAGGACATAGAGAGTAAAACTGAAGGACAGGGAGGGACACAGGGGGAGGACAGAGAGGGACATAGAGTAAAACTGAAGAAGAGAGGGACACAGGAATAAAACTGAGGGACATAGAGAGTAAAACAGAAGGACAGAGGGGACACAGGAAGTAAACTGAAGGACAGAGGGAATAGAGTAAAACAGAAGGACAGAGAGGGACACAGGGGGTAAAATAGAAGGACTGAGAGGGCATGGAGAATAAAACAGAAAGATAGGGAAGGACATAGCGAGTAAAACAGAAGGACAGGGAAGGACATAGAGAGTAAAACTGAAGGACAGGGAGGGACACAGGGAGTAAAACTGTAGGACAGAGAGGGACATAGAGGGTAAAACTGAAGAGACAGAGAGGGACACAGGAATAAAACTGAGGGACATAGAGAAAACAGAAGGACAGAGGAGGGGACACAGGAAGTAAACTGAAGGACAGAGGGGAATAGAGAGAACAAAACAGAAGGACAGAGAGGGACACAGGGAGTAAAATAGAAGGACTGAGAGGGCATGGAAAAACAGAAAGATAGGGAAGGAGAAGGACAGGGAAGGACAGAGAGTAAAACTGAAGGACAGGGAGGGACACAGGGGTAAAAACTGTAGGACAGAAAGGGACATAGAAGTAAAACTGAAGAGACAGAGAGGGACACAGGGAATAAAACTGAGGGACATAGAGAGTAAGACTGAAGAAACAGAGAGGGAGTAAAACTGAAGGACAGAGAGGGACATTGAGAATAAAACGGAAAGACAAGGAAGGACAAAGAGAGTAAAACAAGATTAGAGAGGGACATAGAGAGTAAAACAGAAGGACAGAGAGGGGACACAGGAAGTAAAAAAGGAGGGGAATAGAGAGTAAAATAGAAGGACTGAGAGGGCATGGAGAATAAAGCAGAAAGATAGGGAAGGACATAGCGAGTAAAACAGAAGGACAGAGAGGGACATTGAGAATATATCAGAAGGACATGGCGAGACATAGGGAGTAAAACAGAAGGACAGAGAGGGACACAGGGAGTAACACAGAGGGACTTAATTTGAGAATAAACCAGAAGGACAGCGAAGGACGTAGGGAGTAAAACAGAAGAATAGAGAGGGACATAGGGAGTAAAACAGAAGGACAGAGAGGGACATAGAGAGACAAAAAGAGAGTGTGACACAAAGAGAAAGAGATTGGAAAAGGTGTCATCTTATACAAAGGCAGCTGTTTGCAGTGAGGGCTTAATTCATCATTTATCACTTAACCGTCTTTTGTGGTCATTTCAGTATTTTTAAGAGTGGCTATGCCACTTTTCTTATAACTATTTGATTTAAAATACAGAGTCCAGCATTAAAAAAATTATATAAATAAATCCGTGTAATTTACACGGCTCATCTAGTTATATGAAAGAAAAAAGGAAATCTGTTATTTATTTTTAACAAAAGCATTTTAATAAGTAAATTCACTTTTAAATTAAGACCGAATCGCTGCTTTGTAGAACAGACTCCCAAGGTGATGCTTCCCCAAATACGACATTTATAACCTGTTCAAATCTAGAGTTATACTTTATCTTCCTAGCATATCCCCAAAAACTGTCCATCTTACTCTACCTTCAGTGGCTTTTGGGCCTTTTACAAAGTAATCATCACTGTTAAAAAATGATTAATTTTTTTGTTGCAGTTTTTTTTTTAAAAGCTGGTTTATTAGTCTTTCAAATTTGAATTTTTTTTTTGATAGCTGAAACTCAGACGATCGAAAATGTGGCACAGAAATCCGAATATACATTAAAAAAAATGAAATGAAAGATGCCTTCCAAAATTTAAGTGGAAATAATTAAAATAAAAATATTTTTTTTTTTTTTTAAATCATTTCACCCCAAACAAGGCAATAAAGTCACTAGGAATCAAAGGGTTACTGAGTGTTAGAGAATAGGAGAAAACTACTATAAAGGTGAGAGAACTATAATAGAACAAGAATCGAGAAGACAGAAAATAGCGATTGTCATTACATTTAAATTTCTGAAGATCAAAGTTGATTAGGAATCAAAGAGCCGGAAGAGAGTTTCACGAGAGAGAAATGCGATAGAAGAAACTGTTAGCATAGAACTTACGGTTACATCTCGCTATTGCAACTGTAAAATGAAAATGTTCATATATGTTAGACAAAAATAAATTGTAGCATTAGACTAATCTTCAAACTTTTCTTCTATTGGTATAAAGTTATACAGATAGGATTATATTTAAATATGCATACGTAGGTTATATCATGTGAAGGCGAAATTTAACTAACAAAGTGGGTGAGCTGATATTTGATGCAGGTTGTTTTCAAGGTGGAAGAGAAAGGAATTGAGGTGGGGAAATAGATTCAAGCCTTCGAAGCACTGTTACATGATACCTTGTGTATAGCTGACATTCTCATCTGATACGATATTTGCAAGATTTTTTTCTCCAATTATCTGTGTGTTTTATGTCACGATTTGTCCGCCCATTCACTCTCAGTTTTTTTGTATATTTGACCTCTTCTTGGTTGAAATTGTCGTGTAATACCAAAATGGACAGTCATCTCGAGAGGACAGTCATCTCGAGAGGATAGTCAACTCGTGAGACGCCGTGCCGAGGTGAGTTAATATCCAAACATGCACTCTCCTGTCAATTTATTAGCTTCTAGTACCCGACTGGACAAACCTTTCGCTTTTCAGAACCGCTTCACTTCTTCATGGTCTGAATTCAACGTCGTTTTGGAAGCATTCTTTGAGTCTATGGCGTCATAAGCTACCGCGATTCTTCTAAATTGATTAACAGCACTTACAAGATTCGAATTTCACTAGAATTCAAATCATGTGAGTGCGGAGGCCACATTAATGCAGAAACCCACTGCTTAGAAATCTGCTACTATTTCTGATTTGTGACACCGTGCGTTGTCTGCCTGGAAGTGGTCACAAGATGATGGACGCAGCGTAGTTAGAAAATAAGGCTGCCACAATACTAGGAACTGACGGCCGTACAACGTTGAAGCACCGGTTCTCGTATGACCATTCCTCCTGAGTATGACGATAAACAACAACCAACAGCAAGGTCTCTGATTAGAAGGTTCTGTGGAGCGTGAAACCACCTCTTTATTGCTGATGTTTCCAGGTTCACTCTGACTCGGGGTGGTAGCACCTGTTAGGGCCCCCGCTATGGGCAAATAGTGAGCCCCCACAAACTGGGGTCATAACATTATGAAAGTGTAAAAATACATTTTTGTAGTAAAATAACACCAATGCATTTTCATAGTAAAAAAATATACCATCAATATATTAATGGAAAATGAAGAGAAAAATTACCAGTAATATATTTAAAAAAAATAATTCAAATCTCCTAAGAAAACTAAAATTCGGCATTGAATGACCCTTAAGGTGTTGATAAGCCATTAAACAAACCAAACCAAACCAAATCGTACAATCACCGAAGTTAAGCAACGTCGAACCTGGTCAATAACTAGATTGATGACTGCTTGGGAATAGCAAGTGCTGGAAACTCGGATGTGCTTACATCATAAACCTATCAACACTCACTATTTCCATGGAATATGTTTAGATAAGCGCCCCATTCTTTAGTTCCACTAGTTTAGACTTTTACTGCTAACGCCCGTCATGCCTCTTCCACGGAGTCGATTCACTCTTCATTACCTCCGATTTCCAAATGCAAGAAGAAAGTTCCATTCAGAGTACACTTCTTCCAGAACTGTTACTTTGTGGAGCAGTCTCCCGTGTGGATGCTTCCCTGAACGCTACAGTCTTACCCTCTTCAACTCAAGGATCAATCGTTATCTATTATTTTCGTACTCATCATCTTCACTCTCTGTCACTTCTTTCATTCTTATGAAACACCTCATTAACCATAACTATTTTAACAGTAACCATCTTCCTTGAGTGGCTCCTGAGCCTTGTATTATGTACATTTTTGTATGAAAATTATGTACATTTTTGTATGAAAAATTCCTGCCGTCGCCAGAATGTTCGAACCCAGTTGAATTCCTTCAAGAGAAGCAGATTCTCAAAATTTGAAAGACTGGCGCAATATAATCTTTCTTCCTCACTGTGTTTAGTTGAACTAAGTTAAACATTTTGACATTTCTCGTTTTCCCCCTTTTACATTACCTTTCAAGCCAATGTAATTATGGCAGAGTGATCTGTTCGAGAGCTCATTCACTCGTTCTTTTTTTGTCAACCATCGTGGCATGTCAGTGACAATACTTTTTGTTAATTAATGTTAGCAGTGTGACAGAGTATAAGAAAAAATGGATTTGTAATGTTCTCAAGAGTATAAAGGCGAAATGAACATCAGCTGCCTCACACGAAATTCGAAATCTTTTTTGATATTTCTGCGGGTAACCCTAATACCACTGGTAATCGTAATGGCACAGTGTGGATGGCAGGCATTGGAATGTGTTATAACAGAAGAGGCAAAATGTGACGCCAAAAATCGCAAGAGGCATTTAAATAGTGAAAAAAAAAAGAAAAAAAAAGAAGCTAAACAATCTATGAAGAAACGGGAAAATTTCTATAGAACCAAAGAAAAGAATGTTGAACTGCTATATTTTTTACAATAATGTTCACCCTTTATAAGGCCCAAGAGCAACTCAAACTAGAGTAGGAGGCACAGTTTATGAGGATATGTGGGGAAGATAACGGTTGACCCTAGATTTGAACAGGTTAAGATTGTAGTGATCGGAAAGTGATATAATGGAATATGCGTACACCTGTGTTCCCCGTCACTGAAGTGTGATTGGCTGGTGTCCGTTATAAATATCGACGGACTTGTAGGAGAGTTAGAAAGAGCCTTAGTCTGAGAGCTAAGTCTATAACGACACCCATTGGACTACGCCATTGATCTACACTTATTACCTGCGGCTACGACGCGTACCAGTCGATTACTGCTACCGTATTCTACTTGGTTATAGTAGCCAAAACCACTTAGCTACTTCGTTCAAATACATCACTTTCCGGGACATATCAGAAAGTATCATGTTGGAATTTGGTTTCACAAAGCAGCGGTTTCATGGAAAGAAGTTGCTCGATTGGAACTTACATCTCACCGCTGGAATACGAAGAAAATGAGGGTGGTTCGCTAAAAAGTACGAGGCATGGCGTAGTGATCAGGTAAGCATCCTGAAGTGAGGCGGCACATAGATGAAGAATCCTAATATCACTTCCACTGTGTAAAGGGTTAAAATACACGAACATTTACAATGAATGTTATATAAAATCTAGGGCCGATAACTCGTCATCATCATTCCATCGACTGCTTCAATCGTTGGTGGTGGGGGTGGGGGTGGCGATGAGGGCAGCAGAAACAGGCTTCGATTCTTCTTCCTCATGATCCTTTCAGTAGGCTTTTATATAGCTTGTCAGTACTATTAGGTTGGTGCAAAAATAATGACGTAACAATGTCGTTTTTTGACGTTAGCAAATACGTCGAAAAAACGACATTATTACGTCATTATTTCTGCACCAACCTAATACAAGACGGAGAACGACAACCGAAGACCTCGGAAAATGTACAGATGGCGCTTATGTTTTGAGGAAAAATCCAATTGTTCTCCTAGACCTTTCACCACCCAAGGCTATAGAACCCAGTCTGTCCTGGTATTTGTCAATAGCTGGGGGGGGAGAGAAGAGATGGTATTTATTAATTCACCCACAGGGATTGAATGTGGCACAAGGCCTTTTTATTGTGGGTATGTCTGAGCCCGTAGGCCCAGCCAAAAATAAAACTCATCTAAACCCGTCCAAGCGGGCTAGTTCCGTCAACCTCCCCGAACGAAACCCCACCCTTCGGCGGAGCTTCGTCCGGGTTCCCATCTGCAAGCAGAGAGTTCGACAGACACCCGACCCGGCAGCTCACAAAGCGCAGATACTACACTTTGATCCTAGCCATCGGGCCGGGCGGGAGAAGAGATGTATTCATACCTTTCCCAAGTGTATTAGAACATAACTGAATGTAATGAACTCGATTGGAATTCGAACTCAGTTGTCTGGTTCCTCAACTCGAGCCATTATCCATTACTCCATTTTGCCTCACACCAGTTAATTATTACGAGTTAATTCGTTCGACAGATGTCGTCTTTTACTTTTGCCACTAAACCGGAATTTGTGATTCTTCACTAACTACTCTAGGAATTGAACTCGTGTTACCAGCAAGTAATCAGTTGAATTTTGTATCCCTTAGACTATCATGAGTTGATAGAAAACATTTTGACAATAAAGAAGATTCATTAATTTGTTTTTTACGGTTTATCGACCTTTTGTTTCGGGTTATTTAAAGTCAGATATATATATTAGATTTTAAGAATTTTTTTTTTTCGAGATAATTATGATTTTACTAATACATGTCCTACTAATTAATCCATAGCTGGAGGGAAAAGAGGTGGCTTCATGTGAGTGCGGAGGCCACTTTAATGCAGAAGCCCACAGTCTGTTACTATTTCTGATTTGTGACAACGTGAGTTGTCCACCTGGAAGTAGTCACAAGATGATGGACGCAGCATATTTATAAAATACCTTCACCCCCACAAGGTACTTTCATGTAAAGGAATATAACGAACTTGTTTCCCCGATTTCTAATTCCGAGCCGTTATCCATTAAACTACACACGCATCCAACCTTACAGCACCTGGTATTTCCCAAGCGGTCACCTATCTAGGTACTAACCATACTCGACGCTGCTTAACGTCGATGTTCGTACGATAACCGGTATTTCAACGTGATATGGTATTAACAACCAAGATAAGAACTCCTGAATAAAATCCTATAATAATATTTAATAATGATAATTATTCGTCTTTCAGAGAGATTTATTTTTACTTTTCACGTTTTTACAGTACATTTTATTTCGACCTTTGCATAACTTAAGAAAACTATGCGTAACTGTCCTCGCCCCATATAAACATTTACTGTGACTTGTATGAGAGTAACGCTTGAACGAGCAACTATTCAAATAATGTGAAGGCAATGGAGACGCTAAAAGCTGACAGATCGGAATATCCGGTAATACGAATCTGCGGTATCTTTTCTTCTCTTTAAAAGACAGCCAGCAAATTAATAAGAACCAGTAGGAGATGGCTGTCCACCTGTAGCTGAGATATATTTGATTGTCAAATTGTCTGTATAAATTATTAGATCAGATAGAAATATTAAGGGACCGTGGTAACAGAATGAAGCTAGATTCCCAGCATGTATTCAAAATACGAGATATGGTCGCATTTACCTCCTTTTAGGAAATATTCATAGCCCATTTAGAATTGAATCCATATTTTCAATTAAATAATATATGTAGTCGCCTCGTTGAGTTAACAAATTTACATTACTAATCTGTCTATATTTCTGAGATGAGGTATTATTTACACTATTCGGACTATTGTTCTCATCTTTGTCGCCATATTTATCACAACGTTTCGGCCGTTGTACGTTCCAACCTTCTTTAGGTGGTTGGAATGTCGAACTGAACCCTTTATTTCGCTCACTGGGGTAGACTGTTCTAGTTCAACGTGCCATGTTTGATGGATGTCAGTTATCAGTTATCTCCTGCTAATTTTCCCCTCTGAAAGTTCTCCACTGCCTTAACCAGGTATTGAACTCCTGAGTACATAGCAGCAGCCCCAAAAAACTGGGATAGGCGGGTACAAGATGAGGAGGACAACAACTCAGAAAACAGTCTGCCTGCCTTATGTGAAGGGGTTATCAGAGAAAATACAAAGGATCTGCGGTCCATATAACATCAGGACAACCTTCAAAAACTTGACGACACTTCGCAGATATCTCTCTCGAGTATGACCCACCCCCTAGAGGAGAACATGACTAAAGACTGTGTGTATGCAATCCCGTGCAGCTGCGGAAAGAAATATAAAGGAGAGACAGGCCGCCCCCTCAAGATAAGGCTTCAAGAACATCAGAAAGCTGTAACACGAGGTAGAAAAATCAGGTGTGGCTGACCACATATGGAGAGAGAAGGGAGATCACCGCCCTCTGTGGGATCAGGTTGAGATCATAGACAAGGAACACCATTGGAAAATTCGTAAACTTAAGGAATCAGCACATATGCTAGGTCACAAAAATCTCCTGAGCCGACCAAGCATAGAAATAAATACAATATGAGAACCAGTAATAAGGAGTGCCAGAGAAAAGCAATGATAACAACAAAGTTGCAATATGAGCTTTGGTAAAAACATGAATGATAACAGAAAAATTGCAATATGGGCACTGGTAAAAATGGTTGCTGAAGACATTAGGTTTATAATACCCAGAAATTCATACCCAGATGTCCTCAAGGACACATGGCACAGTGGATAAAGGCGTTGGTTAGATCCAGTTACACGACCCAAAGAGTTTGAGTGGCGAACTTTCAGAGGGAAAATTAACAGGAGATAACTGACATCCATTAAACATGGCACGTGGAACTAGAACAGTCTACCCCAGTGAGCGAAATAAAGGGTTCAGTTCGACATTCCAACCACCTGAAGAAGGCCGGAGCGTACAACGGCCGAAACGTTGTGATAAATATAGCGACAAAGATGAGGACAATAGTCCGAATAATGTAAATAATGTATTACTAATGTCGTATGTTTGAGTTGCACAAATCACTCATATCTTGCGTCGTACACACCGTTGCATACTCCCCTTCATTCTCAGACGACGGGGTCGATTCACTAATATGTTGCTTTCTTTCTCGGCTGCTGATCGCCAGTTGTTTTGTTCGGGGATAAAAGACATCAACCATAAGGGAATTTTAAATCTTAACAATTATTTTATTAACTACGTTGACGAGTACATTTTTAACTAGCCAGTGAGGTCGCTCTATCATCCCCACTGGGGAGCAAGTTCCGAGACACGAAAAAAAAAAAAAAAAAAAAAAAAACACGTCTACATTGTATAACGTGTAAAACTTAGTGAAATCCCTTTCTACAGCCAACATTCCCACGCTAGCTTTAGCTAATCAAAAACGACTTCCTTTGTTTTCCGGTATCTGGCCTCAAAGGTCAAAATGTGGAGGTCAGAGGAGAAATACAATTCTCCAAATAAACAATAATATGCTGGATTATTATTTAACACACACGTTCTCCAGTTGCGTATAATAACTGATTGCTCGTATCCGAGTATGCCTGTCTGATAGAGACGCAAGGGGTTACTTGGGCGAAAGAGAAAACTTTAGAACGAGAAATTCAATCAAGGGATGAACGTCTACATCCATTCAAAAGACCGGGAGGAGCATAAAAATGATGATAGGTGAACCTATTCACTTGTTAGCTAATCCCTGTTGCAAACACTTACTCAGGCGCATTTGTATTTCTTCAACACCCACAGAGAAAACGTGAAACGATGCTGAGCGAATCTTAGTTACATTTTTTGCGATAAAGCACAAAACCTGACGTTATCAGTACATTCAAACCTTTGGTCATGATGGTTTGTAACATCGTTCTAGCGACGGCTTCGAAACGGCTTCATCTACCCATTTTTACTCACAAACCTTGGGAGTCAATACATAATATAGTTTTCCGACACTTACATACTGCGCTGCACGCTAGGATCATCTTCCTAAGTCATGGTCACATCTTCGACAAATCGACCATCGAACAAGGATCTCATGGTCGGAAAACTAACGTTTTAAACAGTTGGTTACGTGCGCACGTCAGGCTTCACATACGACTTATCGCATACGATACGTTCTTTCCTGGGTAATGTATTCATGAGACTTGTCATATGCGGACCCTCAAGCGTTTTATCCAGTGAACCGTTTTATTCGTGTAGTCTTTTTTTTTTTTTTATCAATTCCGCCAAGCAAGGGGATAATGCCACTAAGACGCAAGGGGTTACTGGGAGTGAAAGAGAAAACTTTAGAACAAGAAATTCAATCAAGGGATGAACCTCTACACCTGTTCAAAAGACCGGCAGGAGTAAAATAAAGGACGATAAGTGAACCTATTTACTTGTAAGTTGAAGATCACGAAAAGTTATTTAAATAATCAAAACCGTTCTTTTATCTGAATGTTTATTTTAGCTGAAAGATTACAAAAAGGCCAGAAAAAATCAAGGACAATACTTCCATGGCGGAATTGATTGAATGATTTAATTTACGTCTTATCAACATCTTGTGGATTATAATCTTCAATAATTTCGAATTATCTATTACACCAGCGGAACATCCAAGCTTATCGAAGCAGTCACCCATCTAGGTACTGTTCAGGTTCCACGTTGCTTAACTTGGATGAACGAACAACAACCAGTGTTTTAACGTGATATTGCCACAAGCCCAGATCATTTTAATGCCGTGATAATTGCAAATATTCCTGATTGATAAACAATATAAATTTCAATACTTCACGATTTAATTCCGGACGGCTTAAGCGAGTACATTATTCGCGAACACCCCATTGTGGAGTAATGGTTAGCTAACAGGTGTCGCCAATAATCTATATAATAAATGCGAATGTTAATGTGTCAAACTTTTTCAACTTTATTCTTAGAGGCCGTATCCCAACATATCATAGCATTTTGGAATCAGGTCGACTCCGAGAACAAATTAAAAACATCTTGAGACGGATCCGGACCTGCATTCCTGAAATTTTGAATTCCCAAGTTTTCATTACTGCGATTGTTTTCGGCGATTTTTTTTTACATGATTTTTTGCGACGAATTTTTTTGTACGATAACAATTTTTATAACTTGGAAATAAATTTGAAAATGCAGCGAAAATCACCCATTAAATAAAAAAAAGTATTTGTACAGAAAGTAAGGACCTACGTATATCAAAATGCCTTTAAATTAAGTGGCGACAGAAGAATTATCGTTGAAAGGGTTGTTGTTCATGATGATGGTCGTCTTCGAGTATAGAATCCAGAGGTTAGCAGTGAATATTTCGAAGATAGTAGGGTAGCGTTGTTCAGGTTAGCAGTGGATATCCCGGTAAAAGTAGCAGAGCGTAGTTCTTCCTTCTGTTCCTCTTCGCCTGACAAGCTGGCACTGGACATTCGGATAGAGTAAACAAAATGGCCGCCTTTATACACGACGGATTGAATATTCTACGTCTTCTGATTGGTTAACCTTCTATTGGCGGACTATAAAATTAGTCAAGTCATTTGGACTAGCTCACTAGTTACATAATACCCAAAAAACTGCAACAAGGGTAAGCTTAAATATTAATACAATACTAAAATGCAGCGATCAATTTTCAGTTCTTCTGTACTTTACTGCTACTTATCGCATCTATTCTCCCTACTTATTGTGATAAAGGCCCAATCAAGCCCCCTCCCCCGGGAGCTAGCTTAAGTGCCGCTTGATAGGGCGGCTTTTAATCTAGCTAGTAATAAGTTCATTCTTCACTTGTCGCTTCATAATTATCAACTTGAGCACTATATTTGCTAAATAACAATTTGGATAACTTCACCAGGCATCTCGTTCTGGTGGTATGTTTGGAAATATAACAGATCGTTACTATTTAATAATAAATTCTAACCTCCATGTGGGTTGTGCATACTTTGGTTTTTGTCATAACAGAAGTCAGCTCATTTGCATAGCTCTGATCGGTGCCTTACAGCTGATAATAACTAACAGCCCAAAGTGGAAGAAAAATAAATTGTGAGTTTCAATACCTTATAAATCAGGCATTGCTGTATCATTACTGACCAGACTCCGTGTTTGAAGAGTCATGAATAGTGCTTGCACGATCAAAGTGACTAAACGCTTTGAACATCTGTTGGGTCTCAAGCTTAGTCTAGA